CTCAAAAAAAATCAAATACCTAGGTGTAAACCTAACAAAAGATGTGAAAGACCTCTACAAGGAAAACTATACACTTCTGAAGAAAGAGATTGAGGAAGACTATAGAAAGTGGAGAGATCTCCCATGCTCATGGATTGGTAGAATCAACATAGTAAAAATGTCGATACTCCCAAAAGTAATCTACATGTTTAATGCAATTCCCATCAAAATTCCAATGACATTCATTAAAGAGATTGAAAAATCTACTGTTAAATTTATATGGAAACACAAGAGGCCACGAATAGCCAAGGCAATACTCAGTCAAAAGAACAATGCAGGAGGTATCACAATACCTGACTTCAAACTATATTACAAAGCAATAACAATAAAAACAGCATGGTACTGGCACAAAAACAGACATGAAGACCAGTGGAACAGAATAGAGGACCCAGATATGAAGCCACACAACTATAACCAACTTGTCTTTGACAAAGGAGCTAAAAATATACGATGGAGAAATAGCAGCCTCTTCAACAAAAACTGCTGGGAAAACTGGTTAGCAGTCTGCAAAAAACTGAAACTAGATCCATGTATATCACCCTATACCAAGATTAACTCAAAATGGATCAAGGATCTTAATATCAGACCAAACTCTAAAGTTGATACAGGAAAGAGTAGGAAATACTCTGGAGTTAGTAGGTATAGGTAAGAACTTTCTCAACGAAACCCAGCAGCACAGCAACTAAGAGATAGCATAGATAAATGGGACCTCATAAACTAAAAAGCTTCTGTTCATCAAAAGAAATGGTCTCTAAACTGAAGAGAACACCCACAGAGTGGGAGAAAATATTTGCCAACTATACATCAGACAAAGGACTGATAACCAGAATATATAGGGAACTTAAAAAACTAAATTCTCCCAAAACTAATGAACCAATAAAGAAATGGGCAAGTGAACTAAACAGAACTTTCTCAAAAGAAGAAATTCAAATGGCCAAAAACACATGAAAAAATGCTCACCATCTCTAGCAATAAAGGAAATGCAAATTAAAACCACACTAAGATTCCACCTCACCCCTGTTAGAATAGCCATCATCAGCAACACCACCACAACAGGTGTTGGCGAGGATGCGGGGAAAAAGGAACCCTCTTACACTGTTGGTGGGAATGTAAACTAGTACAACCACTCTGGAAAAAAATTTGGAGGCTACTTAAAAAGCTAAACATTGATCTACCATTTGATCCAGCAATACCACTCTTGGGGATATACCCAAAAGACTGTGACACAGGTTACTCCAGAGGCACCTGCACACCCATGTTTATTGCGGCACTATTCACAATAGCCAAGTTATGGAAACAGCCAAGATGCCCCACCACTGACGAATGGATTAAGAAAATGTGGTATCTATACACAATGGAATTTTATGCAGCCATGAAGAAGAACGAAATGTTATCATTCACTGGTAAATGGATGGAATTGGAGAACATCATTCTGAGTGAGGTTAGCCTGGCCCAAAAGACCAAAAATCGTATGTTCTCCCTCATATGTGGACATTAGATCAAGGGCAAACACAACAAGGGGATTGGACTTTGAGCACATGATAAAAGCGAGAGCACACAAGGGAGGGGTGAGGATAGGTAAGACACCTAAAAAACTAGCTAGCATTTGTTGCCCTTAACGCAGAGAAACTAAAGCAGACACCTTAAAAGCAACTGAGGCCAATAGGAGAAGGGGACCAGGAACTAGAGAAAAGGTTAGATCAAGAAGAATTAACCTAGAAGGTAACACCCACGCACAGGAAATCAATGTGAGTCAATTCCCTGTATAGCTATCCTTATCTCAACCAGCAAAAACCCTTGTTCCTTCCTATTATTGCTTATACTCTCTCTACAACAAAATTAGAAATAAGGCAAAATAGTTTCTGCTGGGTATTGAGGGGGTTTGGGGGAGAGGGAGTGGGCAGAGTGGGTGGTAAGGGAGGGGGTGGGGGCAGGGGGGAGAAATGACCCAAGCCTTGTATGCACATATGAATATTAATATAAAACAATAAAAAAAAAGACACAAGGAGAAATTGCCAAGCCAGGGAGAGAACCCTCAGAAGAAACCAACCCTACTAACATTTTGATCTTGGATTGCTACCCTCTAGACTGTGAAAAAATAAATTTCTGTTGTTAAAGCCCAAAAAAAAAAAAAAAAGAATGGACCAGAACCACATCCCAACAAGCTAAGTCTAAGGGCTACCAGTGCCCAAAGGAGATTTCTGAAGTCCAGGAGTATTCTTTTCAATGATCCTCAAGTAGATTTTAACATCTCAAGAATAGCTTCTTTTCACAGTGAAAAAGACTGAATGACCTATCTTATATATAGAATCTAAAGAGTTGAATACACAGAAGCAGTGAGTAGAAAGGGGGATGAGGAGATGTTGATCAAAAGATATAAAAATACAGATATGTGGGATGAGTAAGTCGAAAGATCTAGCACACAGCATGAGGACTACAGTTAATAATATTGTACTGTATTCTGAAACTTTATTAAGAGGGTCAATTTCAGGGGCTCTCACCTGAACAAAAAAAGGTAACTATGTGAGAAAATAGATATTTTAACTTGCTTGACTGAAGTAACCATTTCTCTATGTATATCTGAATGTCATTTTATATACCTTAAATGTATATAACTTTATGGGGGAAAAAAGACTAGCGTCTTCTTCTTCTTTGAAACTTCATTTGCATAAATAGTGTATACAAGAAAGAGGAAGAAGAAAAAGAAGGGAGGAAAGAAGGAAGGAAAATGGGGGGAAAGGAGTGAGAGGAGGAAGTTTCCAATGTATATATCCTGGGTGCTATGGTTTGAATGAGTTCCCCCAAAGTTCATATGTCAGGAATTTAATCCCCAATGCAGTGGTGTTGAGAAGTGGGACCTTTAAGAACCCTCATGGATGGAGTGATGCCATATTGTGGGAGACATTTCCTTATAAAAAAATGAAATTCTCTCTCTCTCTCTCTTTCTCTCTCTCTCTCTCTCTCTCTCTCTCTCTCTCTCTCTCTCTCTCTCTCTCTCTCTCTCTCTCTCTCATAAGATGACTTCTGCCATGTTATAAAACAGCAAGAAGGCCCTAAATACCCTTGCCTTGATCTGTGACTACCTAGCCTCTACAAGTGTATGGAAGTAAATTTCTGTTCTTTACAAATTATCCCATGTCATTTTGTTACAGCGGGACAAAATGAACTTGGACAGGCAGCCTCTTTTAAGGATCTGGCACTTGCAACCATAGTTCTTGTATCTTCCAGCTGTCTCCTTTCCCATTCTGTTCCAGATGTCTGGTTCCCCAGACAACCCAGGCCCTTTCACCCTTTCAACCTCTGTGCCCTTGCTCACGGGGCTCCCTCTACCTGGAATGCCCCACATTTCTGCCTGAGTCATATGTCATCCATCTTTCACTCCTGCCCACATCTACATCTGTTGTTTTCTATTCATCCTTCAAGGCTCAGTTTAAATACTAACCCCTCTAGGCAGCCTTCTCTGCCTCCCCCAGGCAGATGTCATTGCTCTTTTTTCTTCATTCCCATAGCATCCTGGCTTATGTGTTGTTATAGATTGCCTCTCAAACTTCAATGTGCCTACAAGTCTCCTGGGGACTTTGTTAAAAGGCAGGCTCTGGTCCAGGAGTAAAGCCTGAGTGTTAATAGTTCTAACAAGTTCCCAGGTGATGTGCAGGTCTGAAGACCACATGAACACTCACTATATTGTATTATGGCTAATTATGTGTATAGTTTTGTAGCACTGCGTCCCTCTACAGAGAAGCTGTGTCTTAATCACCTTCTTCTCTCCACTACCTGAAAGAACCTGGTTCATGGCAGGTGCTCAGAAGAGGTATTTCATGCACTGACCACAGGAAAGCACCTGGAAACAGAGTGAGACTCTGCCAGTTTCTACTACCAGTAGTCACTCCCCTCCTGGCAGCTGTTGAGGGTTCCAGTGGTAGCCACCTGTGGGGCACAGGGTAGCTGATGACCAGGACGTCCTCTGTAAATGCAGTGCTCAGGATATCACTGAGGAAGGAAGGAGGCAGTCCCCTCCATGAACTTTTACTTATTTGTTTTATTCACTGTTGATCTCTCCATATTAGAATAGGATCTCAAGGCTGGTGGAGTGCCTCAAGTGGTAGAGTACCTGCCTAACAAACATGAGGCCCTGTTCAAACCATAATACCTACAGGAAAAAACAGTATTCATCTTAGAACAGGATCTCCATCACAGTAGAGTACTTTGTTCATCTGCCTAAAACAGAGCCTGACATATAGCTGGCCCTCAATAAATATTTGTTGCATGAATAATCAAATGGAAATTTGACTTTTCCTTTCATTTCTCCTTTAAAAAAAAACAGCTGTAATAATCAGGCAAGGTCTGGGCATACACAGGCCAAGGTAGACAAAACAGCAAAGAATAAGAAAAAAACATGCAAATAATAGAGCCAACTTAAAAGAAAATTGGGCTGCAAAAATTATTAAGGTTGGGTTTCACAACTCCAACTGAATCAAACTAAGGACTGAATGGTTAGCAATGCAGCTCTGCAGAAACCTTCCTAATAATAATCCTCCAATGCTGGACCCAGTATACCCTGGACTAAGCCCTGAATGCAACTGTAGGAAAGAACTAGCTGAGTGCTTCAAACCCACAATTTGACTTGGCTTTCAGAGATCAGCCTGAAACTGTTCAGGATACCAGCACCCTGGAACAAGGCTTTTCACACCCATTAGGAATTTCAGGTAACTGTGTGCTTCATGAAATAATTACAAAGCACTAAAACTTTTATCACCACACCATCAATACTAGAATGTAAAATAACAATAGAATAAAACAAAAATAATACTATGCAATATTATAGATATAATATACATATTATATGAAAGAGGTTCCATCTTCAGATACTTCTTTTTACTCACTGTTTATAGATCCATTTCTCTCTCCTCTTCCCCAACCCTCAGCTTATGCCCAAAGGTTTAATTAGCTGAACCACACACCTGAGGGAGAATGGTTTCTATGCATGTACGCAGAAGGGTAGGGAGCCTGCCGGTGTCCTCGGAGGCCAGAGTAGTGCTCACAGCCATGGTGGGTGTGGGGAGCAGGCAGAGGCAAAGAAGCAGCATACTGGTAATTGGTATTTCCTGCCGCACACATGGCATCCGGATTGGAAAAGATCCAGCCTCCCACTAGAATAGACAAGAGGAAGACACAGGGACTTTCACATCACTATCAGTTGACCAGCTACTTTGCATGGCTATTTCTTGTGAATGACACTGATGCCTGCCCATGTGGGGATACCACCACCCAGCTGCCACACCCTTACCCATGAGCAGGTGACCTAGCTTCTCTGGAGATGGATGACAGGTGCTATCAATGTGTAAAAATCATTTTAAAATGCTGGAAATAGCCATGCAAAATACAACCAGAATGCAGAAGCTAATAGAAATGCAAGTTAAGTAGCTGCCGGCTTAGTTTATAAGCATCAGTCTAGGAGCATTAGATGTGTATGTAAGTCACTAGCCTACAGTTACTAAGAGCTGTTTAAAGTGGTTACACAGAAAGAGTGATGGCCCCTCTCTTTATACTCAGTGGGAAGGTAATGCCTTCTATCACCAACCCACAAACAGGATTCTGAGAACACAGAGAAAGACAGAGAACTGGCCTTGCACACCTCAATAGCAAGCATTTTACAGAATATTTAGGAAGGCAGCGGAATAATTCACAGAAAATAATGAAGATTTTGAACAGAAGACTGTACTTAAGAGAATTCCTGGGCAAAGACTGAGACTTAGTAATGCAAGCTCTGAAACAGAAGCCTGTTCTACCAGATCTCAGCTGACATGACAGATGGAGGATTCAGATAAGACCAGAGACTCCCTTTAAAAATACTGACTAAGTAGTGTCACCTGGGCTTCAGCAATGTCGAAATGGAGCCGCGGTATTAAAACCCACTGTCATTACTTAAGTACTTTTGAAATATCAGTAAGCAAGCTATACACAGTTCATATACAAAGTGTGCACTCAATCATTTCAAAGAAGTCCTTTGTCACCTTCATTTTGTAAACACATGACCCAGGGGTTCCTACCTGGTGAGGGAGATTGAAATAGGCCACCCCAAAATATACTTCCTTAGAATATTATGAGATGGATATTCAGAGGGGCTGTGACACAAATATAGCTCAGAAAAGCTGTCCTTCTGTGGGGGGGAGACATGTAGGAGATAAACAGCATATGCAAACAGGCTTTTCATGAAACTCCCCTTACAGATTTACCTGGACCTGTCCAGAGATTTCCACAGGCTGTCACATATTTTTTTGAAAGCTATTACCTGTGCAACTTTATCTACATAGTAAGACAACCTCTATTCAATGCATTTTTCTTCCCTTTACCCTTCTACAATTTATGTTGCCACTTCCCCACCCCCAGCAGTCTCAAGTCCCTGTTTCTCTCGCAAATAACTCAAGGTGCTGTTGAAACACCAATCATCTGGCATTTTCTTTGAGTCTTATATTTTTGTATGACTCTCATGTTTCTGCACATATATAAATTTCTGTGCTTTCTTTCCTATTAACCTGTCTATTATTAGTTTACATCATAGACTAAAATAATAGCAACTTTAGAGGGAAAAGAGAAATTTTAAGACCTCCCTACACTGGTTAATAGAGTCAAGATTCAGGTGTCTAATGGGCAAAACCAGGCAAAAGACTGCAAAACCACTTAGTATGCCACCTCAAGAAGCTTGCCAAGATTACAATACATGAAAGTTAAGAAGGTGTGGCTTTACATGTGGCCCTAATCTAAACAAAAGGGGTTTTGATTCCAGGTCAATGAAATGCTTTTTTTGAGAGCTGCTTCTCTGTGTGGTTATTCTGCCGCTTCTGGCATAGAAGATGCATTAAGGTTTGGGGAAGGCGGGACTGAAGAATTGCACAGCTTTAAAATGGTAGCAGGGATCTTCTTAGTGAGTCACTGTAATCGAAATCAAACAGTGTATCAAAGGGTTAACTTTACTACTCTGATGTCACTGCCCTTGCGTTACTGCTGCAGCTTCAGAGGACTCCCTCCATTGTGGGGCCTCCTCTATCGTCCCAGGACAGGCAGAGTGGTACCCTACGGGATGTCCAACGCTGCCTTTGGAATACCAGCTGTACTGCTCCAGCTCTCCCTCAGGCCCTCCTGTCAACAAATGCAGACCCTTCTCATATGTGCGTCCACAGCCTGCATGAGACATTTCAATGGTGACCAACTCCAAAATTAGCAAACATTAAGTAAAGTGAAAAAAAATCCAAACCAGAATGACAAGAGAGCAGAGTATGTAGGTAAGAAATAAGCCTAACATGAACTCTTGAGAGCTCTTAGCCTCACTCACAAGAAAAAACAGAATGTAAGCAATTCAACATTTCCATTCATATCTCCTGCCTAAGGTTTGTTTATGTACCTTAAGCCAAGGAACAAACTAACTCTACTCTCTCTCTCTCTCTCTCTCCCTCTCTCTCTCTCTCTCTGTGTGTGCGTGTGTGTGTGTGTGTGTCTTTCTCTCTCTCTCTTCCTCCTTCCCTTCTTCTCTCCCTCCCTTCCTCCTTCCCCTACAAAGGGCATGAATTTGTCTTGAATTGAAGGAATAATCTGCGGGGTTTTGATTTGGACTAGGCCTTAGGCAGTGGTGATAGTAAGGTATCTGGGTGTGGAGGGAACTCACCCCCAGTGTAGCCCATACCTCCCCCTGCTATTCACCCAACTCACAGTGAGAGTAGGCAACTTGCTGGCTCTCAGAGATAGCCTCTGGAATGTCTTTTAAGTGATTCCTGAAAGAGTAACGAAAGTCACAACCATGTTACAAGTCCAAAATAAAGCAGACCCCAAATTCTCTTCAGACAGTAATAAATTTCTGGGAATAAGAAAACCAAACACCTTTTTTTTCCTCAAAGCTGCTATCTTTCCCCCATTCTTTATCCTCCAGGGCACTATTTGTACTTGTGCAATTGCTCTGTGAAGTTGCCTCTATTATCATACTTATGATTGTTGATCTTTATTTTGATCTTACTGATTTGTTATTATTGCACATGCCTGACAAGATTTAGGGACTGACAACAGCTAAGATTTCCATAGGACTTTGGAACATAATTACATATGTGATACGCAAGATCCACCAATGACCCTGTGAGGAGAAGATTGCTATACATATTTGCAGAGTAAAAAAGTAGATCTCAAGAAGGTAAATTGACTTATACAAGATCAAAATGCCAAAGCTGGGACTCAAAATCAGAACTTCTTATGCAAAGTTCTAAATTTTCTTCATACCAAGCTATGATCATTTTGAGTCTAGATTCTATCATCTCACATATCAGCTTGTCCTTTAAGACTTTGCTATCTGAAAAAGTTATGTGTCATCTGCATCATCAAAATTCATTCAAATATTGAACAAAACGCATTCCTGTGATGTATCATTATAAACATCTGTCCATTAATCCAAAGCCTTTAAAATGAAAAGGAAATATGAAAAACAGTTATAAAACAAATGAAAAAAATTCAAAGCTCAGGCAATAAAATCTGAACACTTTAAAGGTAATCATATTTATATTCTGGGTGTTGTCAATAGAAAAGTCGGTGATAAGTGCTACTATCTTTGAATTTTTTCCTAGAATGGAAAGGAAAGATAGGATGATGTTAAGTCACTGGCCCAAAGTGGCAGTCATCATTCACATCTCCAGAAGTTTCGAACTTTTCTTCTCAGACCTGAAAAACATGAGCCTCCAACCATTACTCACTTCTCTTAGGCTAAGTGTAGCTTTAAAAAAAACTTAAAGCCAAGAGTGGTGCATGTCTATAATTACAGTGCTCAGAAGGCAGAAGCAGAGGATTTCAAGTTCAAGGTCAGCCTGGGCTACATAGTAAGACCCTGTCTCAAAAACACAAACATACTTCACAAACAAACAACAACTTATAAAACCTTATTACTCAGAAGTAATTGGAAAAAGGACAAAGTAAATAATAAAATCTAAATAACATTTGTAATGTAGTTGTGTACTTCAAGAACCTACAGTAAAACAGAGCTGACAAAACATTGGAAGTTAGAGGTTCTCCTGGACCTCTACTATAGAAACTGACAATTATAATTTTGGTCAGTTTTGTGAGATTTTTGAACATCAAATTGCATTTCTATCAAAGATAATGCAAGCATCACTATCCTATTCCCTTTCAGTACAATCATAAATCTCACATTTACAGAACTCAATCCATAAGACTTTACTGAAATTCCTCTACTCACCTTTCCTTGGCATCCAGGAAGGCCTTGGCAAAAGGGTTGTACTTGATTTTGAGAGCTGTGATCTTGCATTTGCAAAGACAGAAAGTGTTAGTGAAAGTGGAACATGTATGGAGCAGACAGAAACCTTTGTGTTCATCCATGAATTCCTGTAAAATCAGAATTCCTTCTCTTTTTCTGCTCCTCCTTCCCCATGTTTCTTTTCTTACTCCTGCACTAAATCCCTACTGCACTGTCTCTAGCAAAGAACATTTCATGATGGCATGTGGTGAGAATGATAAATGCTGTGTAAAGTCAGCAAAAAAAAGTACAAAGCTTCAGAAATGAGTAAAGCCCTGCTGTGCTGAACCCAGCATTCCCTCTTTGACTCATTTTTCTTTTTGTTCAAGAATCACTGAGCACATACCACATGCAAGTTCCTTTTCTTGTCACTTGGAACCCAGGGGACAGTAGGACAGGGTGAGCCTACCTCTCTTAGACAGTCCAGTTAAACATCAATTCCTTATTCTTAAGGAATCACTTCCCTACTAGGCCATGTAAATGCAAAACACATTACCCTCCACTCCTGTCACTTAGCCTGAAACTGCTTCATTTCTCACCAGAGACATCTGACAGAAATATAGAGTCATAAAAATCGTATGAAGATACAGATAGAGGAAGAGATAGAATATTTGTTTTCTTATCCCACCCATGAGATGTGAAGGCTTTGAGAACAGGGTTCACATCTGTTTTGTTTTTGTTTTTACATCCGTTTTATTCATTGTCTCATTCCCAGCTTCTAGAAGAACAACCAACATATAATAATACCCAATATGATTTATTAAATAAATATTTAACCAAATATTTATGTTAGCAAGAGCCCAAGACTCTCTGGTGAAGAAAGAAAAGTAAAATAAAAACACAACACATTCTGTGCCAGAATTTGTGAGGAAAAAATCAGGAGAAGAAGGGAGGAGAGGTATGGAGTTCTGATCTTTTTCTTGGCTAAAACCTGAAGAGATTGGGTGGTAAAAAGGTGCAAAGCCTTTGGCTACTCTCACCCAACTTCAGGCCCACTTGTCTCTCAGGGAAACTTGTGGGCAGAAGGAGTCTCTGTGGTTAGATTTGCATAATCTGATTACCATGGTAATCAAGTACTAGAAATAGGCAAGTCAGGCTGAAGAGCTTGTTGAAAAATCACGATAAAACAGGCAAGTAGTTCAGAGGGAACTGTCCAGCATATGCAGCCAGGATAAATTTTTGGGGATTTCCCAAATCAGGAGCCAAATGACAAAGACCACTGACTGAGAGAGCAAGCAGCATGCAAATGGTCAGGGGGCCTGGACACCAGAAGGGGCTAGGATACTTCCCAGAGATGCAGAAGTCACTTCCTCCCTCTTGGACCCAGATTCCACCCACAGTGAGAAGCAGGGGAGGGAGGGCTAGCTGTGGAATTGAGGGCTGTCATCCTAGAAAACAGTACCAACAGAGCACTGCTCCCACTGGCCTGCTGCAGGGCTTCTGCCAAGAGGCCAGATTACTTTATATAGAAGCACTCACATTTCCTCTGCACATCTCTGCAGGGAACTAAATCTGCATCCTCGTTTCACCTGTAGACACTAATACAACAGTTTCCAACCTGATGGTACCAGGGTCCTCTAGGGGAAACTAAAAACTACAGATTCTGGGCCCCATCCTTGGAGATTCTGACTCAGTAGCCTAGCTGTCTTTGAAAGCTTCCAAATAAAGAAATGAAGATTAAGGCAGCAACAAGGGATTGTTTTTTAACCTATCAAATTGGCAAAAATGAAAAAGACTGAATATATGTTGATAAGATATGGGGGCTATCAATGGCGATGCCCTTTTAAGGGAAGCAATTTGACAATATCTATCAAAATTCTGAACATCTGTTTCTCTTAACAGAACAAGTCTATTTCTAGGTGTTTGCCATGCATGCAAACAACAATAGATACACCAGGATATTCATTGCAGCATTACCTATAACAGAGAATAAAAGAATTAGAAACAACCTAAATGTCCATAGGTATGGCGCTGATTACATGAAGCATGGTATTTCGTTACAATTGAATTCTGCAGGTACTGAAGAAAAGGAGATTATGCCTGAATATAGCTGCAGAGAAAGATACCCATTATATACTTCTAAATTGAAAAAAAATCAAACTAACATAACATACAGGCAGTCTATATTGCATATATATTTATACATCATAATAAACACATGGGGAAACATGCTTTAAGTTGTTAATTGCAGTCTTCAGGAAAAAAAGGATTCCAAAGCCAAAAAAAGTACATTTATCTTTGATTTTCTTTTCAGTTTTACTTTGCCTGCTTCTATACTATTAGTTCATTTTATTCCTTTTAAATAACCATACATTATATTTGGGTTTTTTTCAAGTTTAATAGAAAAGAATCCAATGTTCCCCAGCTGTTCCTATGATCAGAAGCCTGGGAACCCCTCGAGAACATGAATGGACTCAAATCTGTCCATGGTAAGACCAGGCTCTGAATTCTGACCAATCAGTCAGTGTTCAAATTATTGAGCAGGACAAGACCTAAATGTGCTCAGATATTAAAAGGTGACACACAGGAGAGATAATAAAAACCCAAAGAAGGGTATACATTTGGATCAATTCCCACAGACTTGCTTCTCGAGCAGGAGAGTGGAAGAAGAGCAGTCACCTCTATTGGCCCATACTCCCCCAGACACACCCAGCTTGGTACAGGCCAAGGGTACCTCAGGACCCCAAAACAGGACTTATGAGTTTCAAAAGAACTCAGGAGTTTTACCACAACATACAATTGTGCCTTATTGGCACCAGAAAAAGACACACTAGCAGGCTGCTATAGTTTGGATCTTCAGTGTCCCCCAAAGGTCCAAGTAGTAAAGGCACCACCCCAAGGGTGGTGCTTTAGGAGGTGGTGGAGTCTTCAAAATCCTTCCTAGTGGAAGCATACTTTTGGATGGGATTGTGGGACCCTGGCCCTGTTCTCACTCTATTTTTGCTCCCTGGCGGTGAAGTGAGTGATTTGTTTGGCCTTGTACACCAACCCACCATGATGTGCTGCCTTATCTCAGGCCCAAAGTCAAGGAGGGTCACGTGATGGCTCATGGCATGGAACCTCCAAAACTGTAATACAAAATAAACCTCTTCTCTGTGCAAGTTGTGCTGTATTCATTATGGTGATGGAAAGCAAATACAGAGCCTTTGGCAAACAGACAAGAGGAAGGGAGAACAGCTAACCTATTGTTTAACTCCATTACTCCTAAGAGTATCTGAATTCCAGAAAACTTATCTTTCATCCAAGTTTGCTCATGATAATAACAGAACCACTGCCTACTCTGCCATGCTCTCTCAGGTGACATTTATACACACACACACACACACACACACACACTTACCTCCTCATTCTGATAGGCAGTGACAGCTATGAATTGGGTTTCAGGGAAGGAGCAGTTCATGACCATTCGATGGGCACCTCCAACGCGCACTATGTGAACCTGGGGTTCATACTTGTGCAGAGAGTTCAGCATTATCTGTTGAATTGGGGAAAGAAGATAAAGAGAAGCAAAGTCAAGCACAATCTATCACAGGTGAAAGGGAATTGGCTAACCAGCATGCTTGGTTAGTGCCAAACTTGGCACCCACCCCACCTAAGTCACCTGAACGTTCACCACCTCTGAGAAATGAATGGGGGTAGGGGGGTTTTTCCAGCAGCTCCAGAGAACACAACATTGACACTTATACAAGGGTCACGGATGGGATGCTGACAGGAGTTGTTCTTAAGTCTTTGGTGTTCTGCCACCACATCCTGACTTCCATTTCCTTCCCCTATTTTCAACACAACATGCACATTTCAATCCATTAAAACATATGTTTCTTTTCAAATGGAGAATCCTAGTAACTCAAAATGTTGACAATGACATTTTACTTGTGACTAAAGGGTGAGGAAATCTGACTTCTGGTGGTTATACATAATCCACTCTTTATAATTCAAATGAAAGGGCATTGAAAGTCTCATGCTGTGAAAGCTACTAGACAATGACAAACTACTTCTCAGTTTCCCATTGTAATAAAGAACTAGAACCTTCTGGATACCACAAAGCCTTGCTGGCATTATCTGTACCTTCTAAAGCAGAACTCCTACATTCCCCACCAGCTAAGCACAGAAAGAACAGAGAAGGCACAAAACAGAGAGCAATAGGCAGAACAAAGCCAAATCTGTGGGGTGGGGAAGAGAATCAAAGCCTTTTCCTCCCAGTACTGTCTCCAATATCCTGCAAAAAATCTATATTTTATAAAGTAACTAACAACCTTACACAACCGTACCATAGAAACCAAAAAGAACCCCCCCCCAAATTGTGTTTACTTTAATTGGAGACCTTAAATAAAACCTTCCTTATTTAAGGTTTGTTTGGATTTTTTTTTTCTGAAAAACCAAAGCTGATTCAATATTCTATTGATAATTATCATAATGCCCAAGCAGAGGAAGTAATTATTTCATTTAGGAGCAGCTTTTTATTAAGGTATTTGTCTATTGCCAACACGCCACTTACACCAAAAGAGAGGAGAGAGAATAACAAAACCCTGGTACCCACAAACATCTCCCTCCCAGGGAGGGGCTAGGTAAAAAGCAGCACACACAAGACAAAACTAAAAAGAGCCCTGATGATTAAGTAAACTACTGCTCTCTCTCACTCTCTCTTAACATCAGGAAGTCCATTAAAAACTGAAAGCACCAATTAAGAGCTGTTTATTCCTGTTTACATTTGGACCCCAGGGAATAATTGGCTTCTGTAAGAGAAGAGGCTGGTGAGGACCCCTCTAATTGCCTAAATGCACCCTTGATATTTCTTGATTGGTGTGTGGGGAGGCCAGTGCGCACCTGCCCACCTCCGTTGAGCTTGTTGGTCAGCTTCACTTTGCTGAAGGAGATGGGAGCTTTCATCCAGTGGGCCCCAAAGTTGGGGGAGTCGGGGTGGATGTAGACACAGCTATGGCTGGAGACCTCTGGCTTGCCCGCAGGTACCCATTCCCCATTGACGTACTTCCAGCGGTGACTGTCCGTTGGAACAAAGTCCAGCAGGAGGGAGTACATGGCATTGGGGTCCAGTCCAGTGACACTGATCTTTAGGACAGGGAACATCCGTCTAAAAGAAAAGTTAGAAACTCAGGCACAACAGAAAAGTCAAAGGACCTCCCCACCATGTCCAAAGGCCTCTCAAGTCTGAAGAGACTTCCATGGAATGCCCTCGATGGGAGGCCACATAAACAGGGGCCAAGTCCACAGCCCACCAATTCCACAGCCCACCAATTCCACCAGAGCCTCTCTTTAGAAACGCATTTGATATTGAGGCTTGACTTTAAAATATTGTGCTCCATTTCAAAGTCTGAAAACCACTCATCTAGTCATTTCACAGAGGCGGAAGCTAAAGACCAAGGTGTATAGTCAGGTGCCACATTCTCACAAAGATTACCCACCCCCTAGCAGAGTAATGTCATAAAGTAGCCCTTTCCAGACTCACAAAGAACATTACTCCTGAATAATGATAATAGCATTTATAACAAAAACAAAGAATATGACAAAATAACTGAGAACTCTTGGCTGTACAAAATTAAAAGAGTTCCTTTCCTCCAGGATTTCTCAGAGCCTTTATTCTTCTGATGAGCACTATGAAATGGAGATGTGGGATTATGCACACCCTAAACTTATGTTACAGTGGAACCATCTTTTCTCTGAGCATTTTGTGGGAATTTGTGTTCGAGGAACACACTTTGAGCTATGCAGATCTGGAGTCATTGTCCTTCTTCCACCTTCTAGAGCAATACCAAATGTTTCTTCTATGTGGAGATGCTATCCAAATAGTTGGCTTCTAAGTCTAGAGCATTTTCATCACTCTAAAAGAAACCCCTTAGCCATTAACAGTCATTCCCCAGTATATTCAGACTCCTTGCTTCCAGAAAGAAGAGCAGAGAGAAGTGGTCCTGGACAGTCAGGCAAGAAAGAGGCAGAGCTGATGTCGTCTGTGCTTCCAACTTCCAAAGACACCAAAGGTGCAGTTCTAGAACCAGGAGCAGAGCTGGCCAGCTGAAGGATGGTACTCTCAGGGCCACGCCAACACTTCACAGAGCACTTATTAGGTGCCGGGCATTAGAACAGCACTTTACAAGAATTAATTCATTGAGTTCTTGCAACAACTTTATGAGGCTGTCTTGGAATGTTTGAGGAAAAAAATTGGTTTAAATAGACTAGGCCAAGTATCTGAATTAAATAAAATTTCTAGGGAGGAAATGCATCAGGTGATGCATTGCACATGTGAATCTTGGCTGAAAACTGCTTTTTCCACCTCACTTTCATGTTTGCTAAAATGATGATCCTGCCCTGAGGAGGCTGCCTGTACAATGTAGAATTGTTCCCACTGTATTTTCTTTTGTTCTTTCTTCAATAGAAGGATTTTTTCCCTCTATTATTCTGTCTAGATACCAGATTGAACTATTTCCTTTTTCCATATAATTTAATGTTTTCAATTATGTTAAAAGTATTGGCCAAGTGTAGACTACAAAAGGCCCCTGAACACACAAATGCCATTTGCAAAGAATCATAAAAGTGAGCATCAGAAATAATCATAGCAATCATATCAAAGTCTAGCTTGTTTATAGGAGGAACACAGAGAAATGGTCTCTGTCTTCTGGTCCCATGCTTTTTCTAAAGTGCTAAAGAATTTTTTTCTTTTTTGGCAATTTGAAATCAGAGCCTTGTGCTTGCTAGCAGGTGCTATACCACTTGAGATGCACTCCCAATTCTTTTTAGGTCTGGTTATTTTTCGGATAGGATATTGCATTTTTGCCCACAGCTGGCCTGGGACAGTAATCCTCCTACCTAAGCCTCCCACATAGCTGAGACCAATAATCTTTTTACTTTATTAATTTTAGTTTTTAGTTTTATTTTATAAAAATTCAAAAGTGAATAATTGTCATTTCACACACTAAAGTTAAAAAAAAATAAGTAGTACATGTAAATGTTTTAAAAAGAAAGAAAAAGGGCTGAAGATGTTTTTCAGTGTTAGAGTGCCTGCCTGGAAAGCACAGGACCCTGAGTTCAAACCCCAGAATGACCTCCCCTAAAAAATAGGAATGAAAGCCGTAAAACACATCTGTTCCCCATGCAATGAACTGCCAGAGTAATGATGCAATAGCTCAAGACGACAGCACGGCTGGTGTCATCATGATGTGAAATGTTGGAAATTTCCTACAGTTCTCACTTATCATTGAAGAGATGATTTAATGCAAGACAGTATTTCCAATGATAATAGGTATCATGTACCGTGTTTACTCTGCTGGGATTTAATGTATGTGATACCTCACTCAAGTATTACCTTACCCCAAGCAGGTGTCGATATGCCCATTTTACAGATGAGGACACAGGTAGAGTAACAGTTACTCTACCTGATGGACTTCTCTTTTGTTACATTCATCAGACCTTTTGTTTTAACTCTGTCTTTATTGAGACTTCTAGAAAGTTGATATGGTTGGGCCACAATGAAAGGGAAAGCCCCCTCAATGTTTTCCTATATCTAAATACCTAATTAAAGATTTATTTGCTCATTTCATGGATGATTTTTGAGTGCCTGCTCTGTGACAGGATCTGTTCTAGTAGGGATTCGATGGCAAAAGAATTACAGATCCAGTCTTGCTCAGGAAGCTAAATTCTAACAAGGAAATCAGGCGATTGTAAGGGGTTCATTGCTGTTTTCAATGTGTAAGACAATTTTAGATTACAAGACGTCACGAACTCTTTAGTTAAGCATTAAAATGAGTAATGTCACAGAGGGAGACTGAAGGGTGAGGAGGTCCATTAGCAGATCTGGACAAACCTGAGGTTGTCAGGGCAGTGACATTTGAGCCAAGACCTTAATAAAGAGAAGAGATGAGTCATGCAAATACCACAGGAGGTGCACCACAGGCAAAAGGAACAACTAGCACAATGGTCCAGAGGTCCCAGTAAGCCTGGCCAGCTGAGAAACTGAAAGAGAAGGCCAAAGTGGCTGAGACAAAATGAAGAAGACGTTCAAATTGTTATCCCCACTTCCAGTAGGTTAGCATGTCCCCCTTACTCCCTCAGTCCTATCATGCTAGGTCTCACAGAGAATACTGCACAACTTTTCAATCCACAAAAGAAAACGGGTAATGGCCTTCCTTCTTTCATTTTGCATTCAGAGCTCTACTTGATGTTTTAAAGAAGCCATGATCAGCAAAAAAGATGCTCAATGTCTCTAGTCATCCAAAAAGCACAACAGTGAGATGTCACTTTGCACCCACAAGGATGATTATAATAGATAAAAGCAGACAATAACAAATTCAGGGCCTTGCACTTGCTAGGCAGGTGCTCTACCACTTGAGCTATGCCCCAGTCCTTTTTGCTTTCATAATTTTTTGAAGAGACTCTTGCTATTATGCCTGGGTCAGTCTAGACTGCAATCCTCCTATTTCTACCTCTCATGTAACTGTGATGATAGGCACTGCCACCACACCCAGTTTTATTGGTTGAGACCAGTTCTCTCAACTGGTTGAGAGGTTGGCCTCAAACCACAATCCTCCCAATCTCTGCCACTCAAGTAACTAATTACAGGAATGAGTCACCACAACTGGCCCTATTCTTGCTTGGTTTTTTAAATCACTACATGAATGAACTAAGAGATTACATGTACTTTTTAATCTTCATTATGCCAACAAGGAATAAATAAAAGTCTGTCAACTTGCCAAAGGTCTTGTAACTGGGATGGGCCTGCCTCTAAACCAAGATCATCTCTCATCTCCTCTGATCCCCCCACCCCTTTGTCTTATCTGACAATGACCTTGAAGACCTTGATACATCATCAATTTACCTGTGGTCATCACCCATGACCAGGCTTTGTTTCTGAGGATTAACCGTTCTTCTAATCAACTCGGTTGTTTCTCCATTTTCTCCCAACGTGCAACTAAGCACAGAGAAATCCAAGAGTCTTTGAGGAGTTTACATATATGTGAATCAATCCCTAACTCACAACTTCACTTAACCCACCCTTGAAAGAAATTCTCCTCAGAGAGAGGAGGCCAAGAGGGACCGTGAAGGAAAAAGGAGAAAATGTGGCAGGATAAGTAGTAGTTCAAACACCATCCTTGAACAACGGGTGCGTGGGCCCAGCCCACAGCTTAGCTTTGGTTTTGCTGTGAGGCTACCTTTCTGGCTTTTATTTCACCAACAGGGAATCTTGAGATGCAGCCCTGCTGGGGAACTCTAGGAGAGTGAGGTCTACAGGAAGAAAGGGGGCAGAGATTAAGCAGATGTTATAGGGAGGGGAAGAGTACAGATGGTTTAAAGCAAAATTCCAGAAATTTTACTCTGAAACACGTTCCTCCATCTCTCCACCAAACCATAATAGTCATGGAACACTTATCAGCACCTTCTGAGCTGAGCGTGTGTGTGTGTGATATGCATAGTGCGCGGATGTCGACACTTAGGTGAAAGTGAGCAGACGTAAAAACAGCAGCAGGTGTCAGTTAAATATAACCAAAGAGGACAAAAAAGGGTAGCATCAGGGAAGGTGGTTTAGTCAAAGGCAGATGACACATGTTCATGTGATCCTCTGAATTGTAATTATAAAATTTAGAGAACACGAATCCATGAGCTATCCACCCACGGAACTGAAACTGCCTGGCGTGCAACCTTAATTTTCTCCTCTCTTGCACTGCTCTCAATGGAAACTAGGAACATCAGCCCAGTGGTGTCACCACACCAACACTCCTTAATTATCAGCAGATTCACACCAGTTACATCAGAAAATGCCTTTGATTTCTTAAAACCTGCTCATGGCAAATTTAATCAAATCAAAATTATTTGACAGCATGGAAATATACGTGAAATAGAGCATTTCCCACCCCCAGATACATATGTTAGACATTAAAAAAAACAAATGCAAGAAAAGTTGGGAATGAATTTTTTTCTGCCACCAAAAGAATGAATTCCTAGTTTAAAGGCTGGAGATAAAAGGAAGTACAGCTGGATGCAGTAGAAGTGAATCAAATAAACTCTAGGAAGGCATTATAATTGTCACTATTAAATCTGAAAGGCTACTGAGTATGACTAACTAAATTTAACAGAGAGGGGGAGGAAGAAAAGGAGGAGAAAATGCAAAGGAAGATGTATGAAAACAGGAATGGAAAGAAGAAAGGTAAAAAGACAGAGAGAGAGAGAGAGAGAGAGAGAGAGAGAGAGAGAGTGTGTATCCTGGTTTCTGGGGATAACAGGGAATAATTTTCCAGGGGAAATCCTCTCTCTTTACTGCTTCTGATCAATGTCAGAGACAAGCCTCTTAATTGTATTTATTTGTGCAAACGGAAGTAGGTCTCCCTTTGACAATGAATCTCAATCAGCCATCCTATGTTAGTTCAAATTGTGCTATTTTGCAAAACAATCCAACCACAAATGTTCAGACTTATCTGATTACCCCAACTGAAGCTTCTGAAAAATAACCAAAAAAACGTTAATGACCTACAGGGCCAAGCAGATAATGACAATCAGAAAGGACTGGGTTGAAGGGCTCCAGATCTAGCTGGGTCAAGAAGGCAGTGTGGAAGGCAGGTCTCTAGCAGAGAATAATGATAAGAACGAGACCTAGGGGAGCAGATGGCTGCGGGAAAAGGGAAGGAAGAAGGAGTAAAGAAGAGATGAGGCAAGAAAGCTACATCTATGTCAGGAACAATAAGCTTCTACTAATGTCTTAATCTGAGAAAGGAAAGAGATTGAGAGAAATTCCAGACCATGCACATTCATTATTAACCACATCAGTTTCTTACAGGTTTCTTCCTCTCTTTATTTAAAGTACGAAGGGATCATTCATCTCCTGGCAAGAGAAAAAGATTCCAGCACCAGGACATCCAATTTGAACACAATTAGACTTTTCCTACAAAAATATTTTTCACATAGCTAATATTAATAGCTTTAAACATGAAGAATTTTATAACTTAAAATATTGGGGGCAATTTTATTTAGGTGAAAAAAGGGAAGAGACACTTCTTAAATCCTAAAAATATATTCAGATATGACTTACAAATTGGATTTTACAATGTTTCAAAAACTTTTATTACTTATTACTTTTATTATTTCTTAAATATATGCACTATATTTTAATTGGTTTATTGTACTTATTTTTATTGTAATACATGGCCACTTTGATAGCTAGCTAGTGTGAAAATTGGTATTAATATAACTACTATCCAATGAGCACAAAGCATAAATAGAAAGTTCTATCTATAATCAGACATAATAAAATTTTGACAACTGCATCATCATTCATCTTTGAAAGAAGCTAAGTTCAATTAAGAATTTGGAGTAATTCCTTGAAATTAAAAATGTGTCATATTTCTTTCTACCAAAGAGACAAAAGTAATGTATAAATACAGATGATGAGGAGGAACAAGTATAATTATAATTACAAATATTAAAAGCAATAAATCCTCCATAAGGTTTAAGTGTGGGATCCATTTAGAAGAGAAATACAAATATTAAGCAAGGTTGATATGATAGTCTTGCTACCAGTATAACCACAATTTTCTAAATGCCTTTCCAATAGAACCTTCACTTACAAAGCACTTCAATATCATACCACAGCTCTCAAGTTCATAATTCATGAACAAAGAATAGTTTATATTCTATGCTGTGTTTTATTCAAAAATAGAAAGCCAAGACATCAGGAATGGAAGCATTTTGTCCAAGCACAAAAGCCTGCCAAAAGTTCGGTTGGCTTCCACTTTTCTCTATTAACAAAATTTTTCTCAAAGTGTCACAAGAAGAGTCCTGCCCAAACCAACCCTACTGAAAATGCCTTTCAGTATTTTGTACTTTTGAGCCTATGGGTACCAAAAGTATGTGAGCATCAACTGAATGTTGGGAGCTAGTGTGGCCAAGCTGCAAGCGGTGAGATTTTTTTTTTTCAAAATATTTTAATCTCCTCTAGTGAGCAAAAGCTTCTAATATTACGCCATAGCCCTTTCGTGGACTAGAATTTATAGAATTGAAGAAATACCAGCAGAGATCAGTTTCCTTTAATACCTAGTTTGTTTCAGTAAGAAAAGGATACTTCTCTAAGGCAGTGTGTCACAATTTTGTTCACTATCACTACAGCAGCTGTCACATCACCACAAACACACAATCACAAATGAACACTCACCCCCAACACACATGGGAAGTCAGATGAAATGATAGGGAATGAGCTTAAATCCTCCCTTTTGCTCCCAGTCTTCAACTCATCAAAAATTTTCTGGCAAGTTTGCTGTGCTTAAGAAGAAACCATCCAGCTTCCAAAAAAAATTGACTTTCCCATTATCTGAATGGAGTTGGAGCTCAGGTCAGTCAAAAATACTATTTTCTGACATTTGAGTGCATCTCTCCAACACACAAAGCATGCCCCCTCTCATAGTAATTTCTCAGAATTTCTCCATTTAAAATGCAAGTGAGACAGGTGGCTTCATCTTCCACTTCTCTGATGATCTCAGAAAAATTAATTAAGTTGGCTGGGGGACAGCCGTGCAAGACGGTCCTTCACTGAATATGTTCAGTCAGACCCTGCTGCCTCTGAATAAAGAGCTGCAGCCTCTTTAATATTCAAGGGTTTTCACCTCCCTTGCCAAGCCGTGCCAGCCAGGGCAGGGCAGCAAATAAACTCACCTGCCATTCTTGGTCACAATCATTTCATTAGTGACTTCCTTGAATCTCTGCCAGAGGGGTGCATCCTCCAGGATGATCTGAAGTTGCTTCTCAGTGGGGTCACCTTTCTCCCTCCCTGCCTGAAGCTCACTTTCCACCACATTGAGCAGGCGAGAAACAGTGCCATCGCTGGTCTTCTGAGTGCCTGGATCGCCCATGGCCATAGGCCCCTCTCAAACTTTGCTGAGAGCTCGTACCCACCTTACCCGCTTCTAGCTCCTTCCTTCCCTCACCTGCCTGCTTGGCAAACCCAGCTGGTCGATTCCTGGGGAGACAGAAGATGCCCTGACTCTTGCCTAAGCTCTGACACTCCTTAAAGTCTCCAAATTATACCACCAACCTGTTAAGCTTCAGTTGGGGAGCAGGGTGGAGGAAGGGGAGAGGTAGGGAAGAAAAAGCCCTCTCTTAATTACTCATTGGATAGGAGGGAGTGAGCCTGGCTTTCCCATTGGCTGCTGTGCATAGGGTAGACGTTTAAGAAGAGTACTCCATCCAAATTATCAGGCTTTTATCTTGTTGTACCTGAAGAGGTCTAATCGGTGTATTGAGTACCATTTTCCCGTTAATTAAAATTATTCCAGACCCAGACTGCAACAATCAGGCAAATCATGTTTGTGTATAAATCGTGGCATGTGGCACCTATAGTAAAGGAGGTCCTGGAGAGAATCAACAAATTCGATGCCAACCCAGGCTATCCTGATACAGTAGAGACCCTAAACCCCTCAGCTATGCTCCAAAACTTGGGCAAATGTGGAGGCCCTGGAAAGAAGACTAGCATACATGGAAGGTCAAAGGCATGGTGCCAAGAAACAAGACTATTATACCAGAGAAACAAGAAAGATTCTCTGTGTGCAAACTCCAGTGTCTAAACTCAGGAGAAAAGCGAAGAATAGAGGATCTTCTTCCTAGGTGATCCCCTCTGGTCGTCTCTCTCATGAGGGATCCCACACACATTTATTCACTTCAAGGACCCTGTTTTCCTCCAACAACCAGAGGAGCTTTGAGCCTTGCCCTCCCTAGAATCCAGAGCCCTCAATTTTTCCTATCTTCAGCCCTAGCCAGAGGGAGGTGGGAGGAAGGCAGTTAGTGCCATATTATTCTAAGAAAGCATTTTGCCCTGAGTGAATGGAAGCAAACCTTTCACATTATTACACAGAGCAATTTTAATCTTTGGTCCAAAAGGACATTCTGGTTTTCCAGAAGTAAAGAAACAAATTAGGAGTCTATGATAGTGGTTCAGAGAAGACATGGTGATGGCTTAGTCAGGCATGATAGCAATGGCCACAACATGACAGAGATAGGTTCTAGATACTTCTTGAGATAGATATGACAGAATGGCCTAAGGGACTGGATACAGGGATGAGGGAGGGTGGGGAACCCAGGAATTATACGAGTAGTTAGTCCATAGTAGGGCCATTCATAGAGATTTGCAAAGTGAGGGAGGTGGGAGGTTAGGCTGAGGTACAATTTGGTTAGGAAAATCAAAATTTTAATTCTATACAGTTCATAATGAAAAGAATGCCATAGACTGAATAATGACCTACCCAAAAGATGTTTTTAAGTCCTGATCCACAGAACCTGTGACTATATTATCTCACGTGGTGGAAAGGACCTGGATTGTCTGGGTGGACCCAATGCAATTTCAAGTGTCTTTATAACAAGGGGGATAGAAGCAAGAGTAACAAAGCCAGAGGGTAAAGATGTAAGGACAAAAGCAGAAGTCAAAGAGGAGATGCCACACTGCTGGCTTTAAAGATGTTGGAAGGAGCCACAAGCCAAGGGATGCAAGCAACCTCCAGAAGCTAGAAAATGCAAGTAAATGGATTAACTCACAGAGCCTCCAGAGGGAACACAGGCCTGCCAACTCCTTCATTTTAGCCCAGTGAGACTGATTTTGAACTTCTGATGTCCAGAGGGTAAGACAACACATTCTTACTGTTTTAAGGCACTACATTTTCAGTAGGAAACTAATGCAAGGACCATGAGGTATCTCAGTGGATTTTAAGAAGGCACTGCTTAGAACTCTGACCCAGTGTGGCTCTAAGCGTCTAGCAGCCAATGCAAAGAGGCGAAATTTAATCTGGCATACTTCATACTGTGTTTCTAAAATAAAAGCAATCCATTATCCTGTGAGAACTTTCTCCCATAAATTTTTATAGGAAATATACTGTGTAGTGTAGGGAACAGTGTCCCCTTGTGTTAGTCAGCTTCCCTTTAATGTGATAAATACCTAAGTCAACTTTAAAAAAGGAAAGGTTTATTTTGGTTCATTATTTCAAAGTTTCCATTACATGGTCACTTGGCCCTGTGCCTTTGGATAGTGGCAGCAGAGTACATTATGGTGGAAGCGTATGGCACACCTAATGCCCAGTGTGAAAAAAGAGAAACAGGAAGAGTTCAGGTTCCACATAGCACCTTGAAGGGCACACCCCCAATGATCCAACTTCCTTCCACTAGGCCCCACCTTCTAAAAGTCCTACCACCTCCCAATAGCACCACAGATTAGAGCATGTGGGGTTTTGGGAGACATTTCATATCCAGACTATCGCACCCCAAATAGTCTATAAATAACAATAATATAGGGATCACTGCCTTCAAATGATTTATAATCTAGGAAGAAAAAAAAGGTATATGCCCTAGAGGGGCACTGGTGGCTCACACCTGTAATCCTAGCTACTTGGGAGGGAAAAATTGGGAGGCTTGTGGCTCAAAATCAACCTAGTCAAATAGTTTGTGAGACCCCATTTCCAAAATAACCAGAGCAAAATTGACTGGAGGTATGGCTCAAGTGGTAGAATGCCCAAAGCCCCTAGTTCAAACCCCAGTCCCACCAAAAAAAAAAAGCAGTGTTCTCCTATAAACCAGGTTAGCATTGCATCTCTTCAATCAGGAGATCCAGGAGAAATGGCTGTGTGACAAATCCTAGGACAGAGCCTTCTAGCAATTAAAAAAAAGTGGCCTGTATGCTCTTCACTTTGAGTCTGGCCTGTCTAGACAATGACTCACTTTCTAGACAGTGTGCCCTGAAGCTGTATTATATTAGCTATATTAGATTATAATATATTTGATATATTAGATTGAATATGAAATTACTGACAGTTGACCTTTATCTTCAAAAACATCAATTTTATATAGTTTAACCTAATAGTTGGATCTAAAACTAGTATCAATAATATAAAATCCTTTAATATATCTACATAATCTCTTTTTACTTGAGTGAATGTTTTCTAGTTAATAAGTACCTTACAGCAGACCATATTCTAAAACATAAGCAAGAGGGAAAAAAAGAAACCCTATTCGTAATCTCAACATCCAGAGATGACTTCTGCTAACAAATATAGCAAATTTTTGTGACTTGAAAATATATGTATATATTCTGCTTTTTAAAAATGATTCAAGCCTGGCATGGTGGCATGGGACTACAACCACGTGGGAGGCTGAGGCAAAAGGATCACAAGTTGAGGTCAGCTTCAGCTTCATAGCTCAAAAAAAAAAAGAGAGAGTTAAAAATGCATCTGGTTAGGCATATTGAATGCATACTTTTATATCTACTCCCCCACTAAGTCCTTCTAAAATGAGACCGGGGTAAAATAAATTGTAAATCCACAGAGCTGTAGCACACAGGAGAGGGAACAGCAAAGGTAAGAGATATCAACAAGATTGTAGAAATGGACGAAACAAGTGGATGCATAGCAAGTAATGGAGCAGACCACAGACACCTAAGCTTCAGGGAAGAAACCAGTAAGAAACAAGTCAGGTTAGACCACAGAACTCTGAAATCTCTTAGGGAGCAGATGCATCATACAGCTCTTTCTAAAAGGGTGAGTAGTTCTTGCTAGAACCAACCAGAGGATATCATGAAATTTTTACTCTATATAAGAAACAGTTAACCTTTGAGATCTCTACCCTTAGCCAGCAGCAACTCTTCCTTACCCACTGCAGCAAAAAACAGGAGATTGATTTTCTGACAAGATTGGACTTGAGGAGATTTGATGGAGGCAGAGAACAGCACCATACTGAAAATAGGGGATTTAGACACTCTTGAGAACCTACCTTAGTCAAGTGGGAAGAGCCAGTTTTGAAAAGTCTGCGTGTGCACATGGCCTCCACTGGTGCGTTCATGTCTTACCCTTAAGTATGATTACACTGTAAGGGGTCATCAGATGTCTGATATGGAAGTTAGACCAAAGCAAACACACATTTTAAGGAATTCTGAGAAACAGAAACCATGAAGGCAGCATAACATAGTAAGAGAAAACAAATGAAAATACTACAGTTATTTTCAAAGAAGAAATATCACATTCATGAAATAAAACAAGGAAGGAAGTTAGGAAGGAAGGGAGGGAGGGATGGGGGAGAGAGGGAGAGAGGCCAGCCTTGAATATTAAAAACAATAAAACCTGAATTTAAAATTCAGTGAAAGGTTGAAGACAGAGATGAAAAAGACTCTAAAACTATCAATAACTTGACAGAGTTACAAAAAGAAAGAACAGAGAAAATAAAGGGGCACAAATTCTCCAAGAAATAATGCAGGGAAATTTCCAGAATTGAAAGACATAAACTTTCAGACTAAAAGGTACATGAGATGAAAGCCAGCACAATGAATACAAGAAGACCTACAGACAGTCACATCATCATGAAAATTTAAAAACCAGTGATAAAGAGAAAAATCACAGAATCTTCCACAGGAAAAAACAGGCCATATACAAAAAATCATAAATTATAATGCTATCAGCCTTCTCAATAGGAACCCAAAAGCTATAAGAAAATTGAGTAATTCCTTCACAATTGTGACAGAAACTGAGTATTAATCAATCATACCATACCTGGGCTGGAGATGTGACTGGTGGTTAAGCACTTTCCTACTTTGTATGAGGCCCTAGGTTGCATCCCCAGCACCACAAAAAATAAAAAGGAAAAAAGAATACTAGACCCATTCAAACTAGCAAGTGTGAAACAAAAATAATAGGACTAGGAACATGGCTCCAATGGAAAAGCATCTGCCTAGCAAGTCCAAGGCCCTGAGTTCGAACCCCAGAACTGCCAAGAAAATAAAAAGAAAGAGAGGCTATAATAAAGACATTTGCAAAACCTACAAGTACCAAAACTTTTGCTTCCCATAAAGTCTCAGAGGTTATTATCAATGTTCTTCAGCTTAACTGATAAATGTATTTTTAATGTGGCATATATACATAATGGAAAGTCTGCGTGTGCACATGGCTATTTGGTCATACAAAAGAATAAAATCTCATCATTTGCAGGATGAATGTGAGGACATTATGTCAAGCAAAATAAGCTAAGCACAGAAAGACAAATACCTCATAATCTCACTCATATGTGGAATCTAAAACATTGAACTCACAG